TTCGGGGATAAAAAGTATTCTATATCCTGTCCAGTGTCTCAAACTATCTTCATACCAAATTTTATCTAAATCGGTTCAGTACATCCAGAGATTACCCCTACAACCTCACAAACTCACAAACTTTACCTCTTTATAATATTAATATAGATTATATTATATATTTTATCTTGCATTAATATATAGACTAATATTAATGTACATAGTTTTTTCATTGTATCTACCACAAGACCGGAGTCGCCTGCTGTTATATATAAAGAAAAGAGGAAATAAATATATAACGACGAAACGACACTAAAAGGAAGTATTCCTAAAAGGCTGCCAGCATTTCCTTTTCAAATGACTGTTACTCATTGCGGCCATACTTAGCCCTACCGCTCAGCGAGTCACTACAAATGGAGTTATGTTGTAAAGAACTAACATTCTTATGTATCATATTTTAGTATAAAAATATTTATTTATTTCTTTATTGACTTACCAACAAAAGTTACAATGGTTAACACATATAATCTTGGCAATACACTTAACATGTTAATTGCACTTTTAATTACAGATAAATACAGCGTGATAATTTTAATATTATTAATTGAGGTTTTAAGTGATCATAATATAGATTAAACTTTATACTTAAATTATTAAAAAATAAACAATTATAATTATAAATATCCAAATAAAATGTCACATACAATATAGATAAAGATATTTTAAACAATGAATAAATAAATATGAAAGTTTGGTAAAATATAAGTTAATAAATATGAAAAGAAAGGATGCTAAAAAATTAAGTTTTCAGATTACCTCCTCATGTTTTTAAAGTAGATTCGTTGTTTTTATATTAAGGAGGAAATCATTAAAGGCGATTCGAAAAGGGCGAGGAAATCATTAAACAAATTTTATTCAAATTACAACTTGATTCAACATGTCATAGATTTACGCACGTAGAATATTATCCTGGTAATATTATTTCGGACAAAACATTATTCCTATGAATTATAAATAGCATTTTATATCTTTAACTGTCTCGTAGGTTTAGTGGCTCGTACATACAGCTGCAGGTCCAGAGGCCCTGAGTTCAAGTTCCAGGTCGGGTCGAAATAGTTACTGAGTGTATATTATGGGGTAAGTTGGGATTTGGCGGATTTTATATTCCCGGATGTAGGAGAGCCCGTTAAGCTGTCGGTCCTACGTCGTGTCGTGTTGTCATCGGATCGGAATATGAAGAAAAAAAATAGAGAGTACACTTGAGTCTGCTCACACCGCTATAATATTATGTCCGCGTAGTTGGCAATGAGATGTGCTTCTGTAGCTTTTATGGTCTGCTTCGGCAGACCTGCCGTCGGGGCGTTGTGACTGCGTAAGACATTAAGACGGGCGAGGTTCTGTTGGGTTTTAGTGGGTAGTACTGGCTTTCTAGCCGATGAGTTCCACATAACCATCTGTATGTGGTATGCGTAAATGCGTTTCCTAACATAAAAAAGGTATATCTTAACATGATTTCTGGTGAACTGAACATGTTATGATATCACGTACAATTTCTTTAAAAGTAACTATTACATCTATACCTAATGTCTCCTACAAAAAGCAAATTCCTAGAAAACATGCTTAGTAATTTAAATATTGGCAAGAAGTGGACCTATTTCTAAATTAAATAGTTTTCTCTTTAAATATTGCTTTTTATAAGGTATCTACTGCATATTTAAAAATAAAAGCGTTTTAAATAAAATATTTTTATATGAAGCTTTAACGTTGGTTTAAAATATTTTTTTAACATGATACTAAATATTTTTTTAACATACTAAAAAAGCAAAGATATAAAAAAACTACAATTCCAATTACTATTAATCGAGAACTGGAACCACTAGAGATACTTATATTATCTATACATATAATAAAATTGTAACTAATCCGAGTCTGTACATTAAATATTTTTTGGAAAATCTTATTGAAATAAACATTGTTAAATACAGATACAGATACAGAAACAAATACAGAGGCCGAATCTATAGTTTTTAAAAATATTGACGGTCTGTCTGTTACCGCATCACAGAAAAACCACTAGAGGGATTTTTATGAAATTTGGTATGGTGATAGCTGGTTATCCGGGTCAACATATAGGATACTTTTTACCGCGGGAAAATATCTCATTTCTGAGAAAAATACAAAAACTTCATTGTAAGACAATACTAATATGTAAAACCTAAGAATTTGCTTTTTGGTCATCTGAACGCGGGCGGAGCAGGGGGCACTGCTAGTGTATATTATATAAACTTAAAACCAACTTCTGTTTATAACTTATTTTGAAAACCTATTTAAAACCATCCATTAGCACTCACTAAATATGATTTTCTTTGCTTGGCTAAGAAATATTTCTTTTAATGCAACTTCTTGGCAACAGCGCAAATATAACTAATGTTCCCATTAGCCTTTCGAAGTAAGCCAGCGAAATGTAGTTCAATATATAAAATGGTATTCGAAAAGATTTTCTGCAATTCAAATGAACTAACCTAATTAGATTTAAAATGTGCAAGCCAATTTGTGCCATGGAAATGCTAAATAGATAAAATAAGTAATTATGAGGTTTTATGTTTGATTTCTTTAATTTTATAACAGTTTAGAAATTAATATTTATTAAGACAAATTAGACAATGAAAAATGAGTATATAGAATACTTTTTATCCCGGAAATCATCCCTTAAGGGGGTGAAAATGGGGATAAATGTTTGTATTGGGAAGCAAGCTAGTCTAAACGTATAATCAAATTCTAACTGAATCGAATCTGTATAGAACATTAAATATTTTTTTGGAAAATCTTATTGAAATTGTCATCATTCTCGATATAATAATTGCCAAATTTATAGTTTTTGAATTTTTGTCTGTGAGAACGCATTACGAGAAAACCACTGGACAGATTTTCATGGAATTTGATATGATGATAGCTAATTATCAGGGTCAACTATAGGATACTTTTTACTGCGGGAAAATATTTCATCTCTAAGAAATCTATACTGATCTTAAAACGTAGGGATGAACCCGAGCGGAGCGAAGGTAAATCGCTAGTCTATCATATGGCTGGATATGGATAATTTAAAAAAAAAACAGCAAAATTGAGAAAATGCTTAGAAAAAGTGTTTTTTTTTTCTATACAATTTTTGTATGACCTCAAAGAATTTCAACAGCGAGAAACTAGCGAATTTAATAATTATAGAAAGACCTTTTACCTCTTCTAAAATATTATGATATCTTTATGGTACTTGACCTACGCCTACAGATTCACTTCAATAAATTTCTAACGTTTTAATTATTATTATTGAAGATAGTACTTATAATTTTAATTGAAAGAAATGAAATGCAGTCCGATTTAATTTGGTGTATTAATTAGAAATTTTATAAGTGTTTACCAATAAGGAATAACCTATTTATAGTTTTATGTAAGTACCAGTAAGAGAAATGGGACATATTTTGTATGAAATTTGTCAAATTTCAATTTCAACAGAGGCATACTCGTAGATTTCTTAGAATTTTAATTAATTTTTAAAAAAATTACCTGGAGGTGTTCATAGCAATAAGGCCGCCTTTGCGTGCTTTTTTTTTAATTATTTTTTCATATTTTGTACTGTTTTTTGTGTGTACAAAAGTGTTTTTCTATCTATGTAAATCTATGTAATCGGTTGAAAATGTGTTAATGAACACACAGCACCATCTAGTTCCATGGTAAGCTACGAGGCTTGTGTTATGGATACCAGATAATTGATGCACTACACATACATATATAACTTTAAATACATACATATTATAAACATAAACATATTAAACACCCATGACTGGAGCACAAACACTCATGCATATCACACAAATAAATGCCCCAACTGGACTCGAACTTGGGTTCGAGTCAATACGTATCATCAAATTCGTTTATTTTAAAAAGTTTTTATTATTCATTACTGTCAAACTAATTATACTGCTGATAAAAAGTTGCACCTAGTAACAAATATTATTGTACAAATTAAATAGAATATTGTTATAAACAATAAATAGGTCGAACAAATCAATTATTGGAGTAAAATTACTAACTTTCCAGTCTAAATACGAGAAGTTCGAATCTGGTGTAATGTTCATGACGTTTTAATTTTACGCTTAACTTGCCCTCACTCAGTTTGAGGTGTGCTTTTAACCCACTTTTATGGTCAACATTGGTTTTTCCCCTTTTATTTTTGTATTGTAGGTATATATATTTTTTTTAAATTGAGTTTTATTTATTGATTGGTTTAAGTATAGATTTCGCAGTAAAAAGTATTCTATATATTGATCCGGATAACCATCTTGATGGAATATCATCAAAATCTATCCAGTGGTTTTCTCGTGATGGGTTCCCAGACAGACAGACAAAAATTCTAAAAACTATAGATTCGGCCTCTGTATCGATAATAATAACTATTTCAATAAGATTTTCCAAAAAATATTTAATGTACAGATTCGACTCAGAATTTTATTATATATAACGAAGCTCCAGACGCCGTATTGTTTTTAAAAATTATGACGTCAGCATTGCTGACGTCATTCTCTTCATTATTATTTCCATTGTTCATGGTGATACAAATTCAAACTAGAACTTCTTCCAATAATCCTTTTATTAAAGGTAGGCAAGAAACAATACTTCAGTAGAGCTCCGCACTGCTCGGTTGCTAGTGCAAAAACTAACTCGTGTGACGTCCGCTATTCGTATTTATACCAAACTCAAAGAGTGGGGAGCTCTATTATGATTTTACAAAAACAGATTTTATAAATTATTAACATGCACTGTATCTATTTATAATAATTAACATAATTAAAAACATTAGTTAAGTGTATTCATTTTAACTGTAACTCATTTTAGTATTTTGTTCTTTTAAATCAAATAACAATCTTTATGACAAACAATAATCAAAAGACAACTTTTATGAAAACATGATTGTAAATAATTAATTTTAAGAGACAATATCCTAAGTAGCTTAAGTAAATATCTTAAATAAATGATGTTGCGCCGATACGGCCGTTCTGACCGGCGGTGCGCGCTCTGCACCAGCCGCATGTATGACTTTTATCGGAGAATTCTCGAAGTTCATCTGAAACAGTGAAATGTTTCTTTTTGAGCTTGGTATCTGTGTACCTTTAAGTATAACATGATATGATTTTATTATAGTAATTTATTTTGTGTAATTTTTATTGTGGCGTACACTGTGGTACTATTGTAAATATAACGTACACTGTGGTACTATGTTATTGTGTACTCTGTGGTACTATGTTATTGCGTACTCTGTGGTACTATGTTATTGCGTACACTGTGGTACTATGTTGTTGCGTACTCTGTGGTACATTGTGATGTATGTGTAACTATTGTAGTGACATTTTAATAATCGAAATATAAACATACCTTTTGTTTTAATCTGCTTACTCTTGAGTTCGTTGTTCGACTATATTGCTTCGTGAAGTAGATGCTATAGCCTCATTGGTTGATGCTGGAGAGTCGTCTTCTTCCGCCGATACGGTCATCTGGTCTCCAGGTTGAGGTGCCCGACGAAGTTGATCATGTGCAACTTTTCTTGGACGCCCTGAACCAACCACCTTTTTTACTAGATAGCGGTCATTGTTCAGGATTTTCGTTATTTCGTAGGGCTCGCTAAATTTTAGATCCAATGAAGTTTGGTTACGAGGATTATTTTTAATGAGTACATAATCACCTCGCTGAAACTGACGAATCTTTGCTTTCTTTGAATTGAAGCGTTGCTTGTCCTGTTCTGCATTTTGTGACATTTTTTGTTGAACATGGCTAGTGAGTGCTTCAATATCAATAGTCTGCTCGTCAATATTTACGAGAGTTAGCAGTTCTGGAGGAACACAATGTCTGCGTTGGGTAAGTAAAGTAAGCGGAGCCACGCCTGTCACACGATGAGAAGTGCAGTTTAGTGCCAGTTGAAGTTCTTCAAGTGTCGTGTGCCATTCTTCTGTTTCGTAATTCTTGATCATAACAAGAGTATTTTTTAATGTTGCTACGACACGTTCTACTTGCCCATTGGCTCGGCTGACTCCTGGTGCTATAGCGTGGACGTCTATTCCTACCCGGTCACAGTAGGTTTTAAATTCGCCCAAAAACTCTCTGCCTCCGTCGACTACGATTTGGACTGGAGTACCGAATAGGTGAACCGTACGTTTTAGAGCAGCCAGCGTACTATGTGGATTTTTATTAGTTGCGTAATAAAATAGCACGTATTTTGTAAAAGCGTCTATGGTGACAATCACGTACTGTCGGTCGTCAGATGTTCCCATTTTGCCCGTAATATCCATGTGTATCACTTGAAAGGCAGCAGTCGGTTTTTGAATCGGGTGCATTTGAGCTTGTATAGCACCAGATGCTCCTTTGGATGTCCTGCAGACCACACAGTTATCAACAAATTTTCGTACATTCGTGCTCATTTTGTCAAACCAGTAGCTATCTTTAATTTTCTGTAATGTCTTCTCCCAACCAGGGTGTTTTAATGCAGTGTGGAATGAGTTTATTAAACTCCACTGAAATGACCTCGGAACTACTGTGCAATGTCTTTGTCCAAAGGCTGGATCCTGCACGATGCGCTTCAAAACATTGTTTTCTAATATGTAGCCATTCCTAGGATCGTTATTACTCATACCATCCATTATAGCTCGCAATGCTTCGTCGCGACGCTGTTCAACTTTCAACCAATCGAGATCTCTGGTCATCATATTTACTGTGAGCTCTACCGGGTTTCTGCTGAAGTAGTCTGCATGTTGAAGTTGTTGGCCTTTGCGATATTCAACCTCAAAATTATAGTTTTGCAAAAATGCCCACCAGCGGTGAATTCTAGGTAGCAGGTCCTTTTTGTGTTTGGATGCTTTTAGTGCATTGCAATCCGTGATGACTGTGAACTTACGTCCATAAAGATATTGTCGAAAATGTTTTATTGCTCGAACCACTGCCAAGGTCTCTAATTCATAAGAGTGGTATCGACTTTCAGTTTCTGTAGTCCTCATGCTCATGAAGGCCACTGCATGTTGTCGTCCCGCAATTACTTGTACCAGTACTGCTCCGAATCCCAGACTACTTGCGTCAGTGTATAATTGAATTGGTGCTTCCTCTTGAAATAGTGTAAGTACTGGAGTTGATGTTAAGCATTGCATGACCTTCTCTCTTGCTGTTTCGTGGCGTTCGTTCCACTGCCATTTCGCTCCTGGTTTAGTTAGCTCATATAGCGGTACCATTATGCGTGAGAAATTTGGTATGAATTTCCTGAAGTAGCCCGCCAATCCACAGAACTGTCTTACTTGTCTGGGTGTTGTTGGTACTGGTGCTTTTACCAGTGCATCTATTTTCCGTGGACTTGGCCGGACTTGTCCATCTGATACGATGTTGCCCAAATATTCGATTGACCGTTTGAAAAAGCTGCATTTATCAGCATTAATGGAAAAACCAGCATCCTGTAGAGCAATGAGAATACGTTCAATGTTTGAGAGACCTTCTGTAATATCTTCACATTTGCTTAATACGTCGTCAACATACACTTGAGCTGCATTCCCCAATAAAGGGCTCAGAGCTCTGTTAATGCATCGCTGATAGACTGAGCATGCATTGCTCAAGCCAAATGGCATAGTCATATATTCATATAGTCCATCTGGTGTAACAAATGCTGTTTTTTCAATTGATGACTCTGCAATCGGTATTTGGTGAAATCCAGCAGCCATGTCAAAGGTTGTGAAGAACTGTCCTTTGGCCAATTGGTCAATTTGATCCGAAATTAGTGGTAATGGATAGTGATCTCGTAATGTATTAGAGTTAAGCTCTCTAAAATCCACGCACATACGGTCATCGCCATTTTTCTTTTTAACCAAGATGATGGGACTGGAGTATGGAGACTTACTTTCGCGCACAATGCCATGCTCCATCAATTCATTTACAATAGCTCGTACTTTTTCTCGTTCAACTGGACTGAGCCTATATGGTCTTCGTTCTACGTACTTGTCTGGGTTCTTCAAGCGGATTTCGAGTTCGCCAGTCTTGACACGAGTTGTTGGGTAACCTCTGATAAACAGGTGTTGATATTTGTTCAGAAGCGTGCGTAATTTTGTAATATCTTCTTCACTCGTGAGGTCACAATCCAATTTATCAAAGATCGGGTTCATACATTGAACCTGATTGATATTCAGCAGACGTGTTAACCTTGTTCCAACCGAAGTAATCATCATAGTGAGATTTGTATTATTTATCAAGTTCATTCCTATTAAAATATCTGTCGTCATCTCGTAGTCCGCCACTATGTAGAATTGTAGTTCAACATTGATGTTATCAATGACCCCAATCGTAACAAGTGTAGCTATTGAAAGTACAGGAAATTGTCCAATTCCCCTCAAGTAATTTACCGTTTCTAGTCTTTTTCCTGGCAATTGAGCTGCTATAGATTCTCGTATAAGTGAGCATTCTGCACCACTATCAAAAACTGCCTGAAAAGTTCTTGGTCCAATCTTTACCTGAATCGGAGCTAGTTTTGATCCAGCAATGTAATTTACGTTTGATGTTAATGAACGTTCGCGTTTGAAGCAGGTTTCAAAAGAGTGCCCTGGTATTTTGCAAAATGAACAGATTGTTGTTTTATTGTTCTGGTTGGAGGTTACTTCCTTGTTGTTGTTTTCGGTTTTAGTTTTGTTCCTTTGTTCAGGTTTGTATTCAGTAGGCTTATAATAACATTCGCTAGTAGTGTGATTAGATCTTTTACAGATACGGCAGGGTAAAGTCGATGGAGTTGCGTTTGAAAATCGTGGTCGTTTACTTGTGTTCACACTATTTGAATTCGGGTGAGCACGCTTCATTGTTCTTATAGATGATGCAACAGATATCAGCTCCGGTACCGTTGTGGCCCGCGTGTTCAGTAGCTCGATCCTAAGTCTTTCATCGTTTACACAACCAATCACTGCTTCAACTGCATCTTCATTTGATAGTTTGTCCTTGGTGATTCTTCTCCATAAGACCCAAGCACGTGATAAAAACTCCGAGATGTCTTTTGAAGAGTCATAAACATGTTCTCTGAATCGAACTATGTCTCGAGAATAACGGTTTTCTGGCTCGAACGTTGTGATGAGGTTGTTACGCAGTTCAGCCCATGAAGCTGTGGTGACCATCCAATCGTCAACCCACATTTTCGCTCTTCCCTTTAGGAGGCTGCCAACTTTCATTCGTATATCAAAATCGTTGAGTCTGTATGTTTCAATGGCCTTGTCGATGTGTTGACACCACTCACGTACTCCCACATTAGTGTCGGGGTCAAAAGATGGTAAGTAAATGTCATTAATACGTATTTTCGTTTCTGGCGGTGTACTTAAACGTTCCGACATTTGCTGCATCACTTGCATTATCTGCATAAGGAATTGCGGTGGTATACTGTTCATTGATGCGTTTAACAATGCTGATTGTGGCTGGTCTTGCGGCAACACAGTTCCAGTATTGCTTGTGGTATTCAATCTATGGTCTGGTTCTGTTGTAGCATCAGGTTGTTGTTGAGCGGAAGTGGCGAGCGATCCCACTTCTGATAACGAAGCTCCAGACGCCGTATTGTTTTTAAAAATTATGACGTCAGCATTGCTGACGTCATTCTCTTCATTATTATTTCCATTGTTCATGGTGATACAAATTCAAACTAGAACTTCTTCCAATAATCCTTTTATTAAAGGTAGGCAAGAAACAATACTTCAGTAGAGCTCCGCACTGCTCGGTTGCTAGTGCAAAAACTAACTCGTGTGACGTCCGCTATTCGTATTTATACCAAACTCAAAGAGTGGGGAGCTCTATTATGATTTTACAAAAACAGATTTTATAAATTATTAACATGCACTGTATCTATTTATAATAATTAACATAATTAAAAACATTAGTTAAGTGTATTCATTTTAACTGTAACTCATTTTAGTATTTTGTTCTTTTAAATCAAATAACAATCTTTATGACAAACAATAATCAAAAGACAACTTTTATGAAAACATGATTGTAAATAATTAATTTTAAGAGACAATATCCTAAGTAGCTTAAGTAAATATCTTAAATAAATGATGTTGCGCCGATATATATATATATTAGAATTAAATGTAAAAAATGAGCATTAAAGTAATATTATATTACGCAAAGTATATGGTTTAGATACGATAAATACAAAATAAATAATATTAAGATGGACCTTTACTAATATATAAAGCATAGCAAAATGGCAGTGGTAGCCCAGTGGTAGCGCGCTCGCTTGGGAAACAGAGTGAAGCGGGTTTAAATCCTGGCTCTCGCACTTGTAATATTTTCATGTGCGAATCATTTCTAACATGATTACCACTTGCCTTACGGTGAAGGAAAACATCGTGAGGAAACCTTCACGTCTGAGAGAACCTAAAAAGTTTTCGAAAGACATGTGAACTCCGCCAACTCGCACTAGGCCAGCGTGGTGGTTTATGGCCTGATCCCCCTTGTATTGAAGGGAGGCCTGTGCCCAGCAGTGGGGCGTTGAAAAGGGCTGAATACAAGATATTAAACTTTGTATTTTCGTTTGTTTTACGCTACTCTCTAGAACTAGCACTACGATAAGATAATTTATTTTTGCATTTTATAGCTTTTTTATAGAGGAAAGTTATAGGGTACTTATCTAACATCAGGTTGCGGCACTTAGAAGCCAAGCAATTATACATAAACAACGCGAGCGTAATTTAAATAAAACTATATTCTCGGATTATTTTGCAGATTTATTTTAAAAATACAAAAATCCTCTTATAATTTTGTGAGTAGTGACTTTTAAGACGTCTAAAATCTTAGTATCTTCTATGACCATGATTGCTGTAAAGCATTCGAAACGTAGGAAACCAAAAATCAAAATTAATTCGAAAAAATCCGAAAAGAGTTTTAAAAAAATGCCCTTTAGCAAAAGCTAGTTTATTTTAATAGTGGACAAGTGAGATAATTTCTCAAATTACAATAAAATACCATTACGTTCTTTCTATAATTATATATTAGAAATGCCCCAAAAGCAAATCATGGAATAATTTTGATAGAAAGCCTATGATTTAGTAATTGATGTTTTAAAAATTGTAAGTAATTCTTAATTTATAATAAAACACGTTAAGATCATTGACAAAAAGTGGCCTTTAATTTTTTATATATTACCATAGAGTATAGGTACCACAGATTACAAATTTATATTCTAAATGATAGATTAAATAAATCATAGACTATAATATATTTTGATATCCTATATTAACAATTTAATTACATTTTTTTTAATTCATAGAGTTAATACTCAAAATTAGTTTTCCGACACCTATAAAATTGAAATATATGGCCGTGGTTTCCAAATACATGTAATATGTATACTCTATATTGAGCTTATAATTTCGTTAATTGCACGACGACGAACAAAACTTTCATCAGGACATTTATTATCTCGTAAAGAATTCAGGTGAGAGTGAAAAAGCCTATTTTTTCGAGCAAGCGGAACCGCTGAAAGCGCTCGTTTAATAATTTACAGAAGGTCTTGAATTTTGATATAACTATACATATAATGTAGTATTACAACACAAATCAAAAATAATAACACCGAAAAGTCTATGGGAATTTAAAAATATATACAAAAAAATATATATACTTAATTATTACTGTACAAGTCATATCCGCATGGAATTATGGCAAGAATCTGGCCGCATTCCCGGGCTAAATGGCGACGCCGATACTTAAGGTGAAAAACGGGCCAGCTCTCTTGTCTCTCTCACCAATAGAGACGACGAGATAAAGATGTTATTATTATGTATTTATTTAAAACTAGCGACTCACCCTCATTTTACTCGGGTTCGTCCCTACGTGCGTTTTAACAGTTAATATGAAATAGATAGAAAATAATATATTCTATTATACGATATATAGCCTATAGCCTTCTCCAATAAACGGACTATCTAATGTAAATAGAATTTTTCAAATCGGTTTAGAAGTTCCTAAGATCAACGCATTCAAACAAACAAACTCTGCCTCTTTATAATATTAGTATAGATATAATCCTTATAAGCAACATTTAGCTTTTTTTGTATAAAGCGTAAAATTGCTAACAAATTTTGAATTGTGAAATAGACAATTTTATTCCATACTTTAATAACACGTGGATGAAATTTGCTTTTTGTTAGTGCTAGTAATAAAACAAAAACTTCACCCACTCACATTGTAAGTTTATATGTTGTAGAACAAAGTTTGTGCTTGTAGACAGCTAGAAACGGTGTTTGGAAAATCATAAAACACCAACTTCTTCGATACAAGCTTGTAAAGTTGTTTCGCTTTTCTATTTGAAGAACAATGTTGTAGCTTAACAATGTTTTTAGTTTTTATTAAAAGTTACCAGTAAATATGGCTCTTCGTTTTTTCTTTTTTTACACATTTCTGAATGAGTGAATGAACTCATCCTTAAATAAGGAAATTTAAAAATAATATTGTCAAGATCTGTTTCATAAGAAAAAATTAAAAAAAAAACATATATTAAAGTACTCTAAGATATACCTGCACAGTGAAAAACACAGTTTTTCCTGTACAGTTAAAATGAACAGTTAAGCCAAATAGAACTATACAGTTAACTGCCAGAAACGCAGTTTACCTTACAGTTTCCCTATACGGAATAACTGTACAGAAATATCACTTTAAGAGGTTAAAAAATAAAATACAGCAAATCCAAGCGAATCCACGATAAACAGCTAGTATATAAAGTAACAGGCTCTCACATAAACATGAAATAACCCCTTGATAGATGACAGTAATGGACTATTACGAGTCATCGTTACCTGGCGGATGTTTTACCCATAATGTAAGATAAACGCCTTTTAGCCACTATTTATTCACCCTCCGAGTTTAATACATGGCGGTCAAATTGCCCGTAAACGGTATTTTTATTTAATGGAGCTTAAAAAAATTTTATATAAATTTTCCTATTCGATTTTTGTTTTTAAATTTTATTTGACGAACGGTTTGTTAATCTATCTACTTATATAAATAAAAATGAATGTTAGTATGTTTGTCCTGTGTTCCTAAATCATTGATCTGATTGTGATGAAACTTTGGTGGGTTATTCTAGGTTCTTGGAGGAAAAAAAAGAATTATACTTTGGACGTTTGCCTTTTATGCATTCCCAAACGGCAGACTCACACAAACGAAGCGAGAGTCAGTCGCTAGTTAAATATATTCGTTAAGGGGCTTGTACTGTTAATTTTAATTTTATAAAATCAAATCTTGGAAGTCGATTTTAACTGTCATATCGATTTGAAATTTGTAAATACATATGTGATTTCCAGATGTTAATGTGTATAAAAACAGAATATCTTTGATGAAGGCGCAAAGAATATATAACACTTTAATAGCGACTTTTTTTTAATTTGGCGAGTCTAGTTAATAAAAGTTGGTCAAAAGATATTAATTATATTATATACAATTAATATTAGAATTATTAAAATAGTTTATTATAATACATTTAAGTATCTCACGTATTTTTAGGCATGACATTATTATTCTCTAATCTCAACATTATATAATTTTGGAAGATTAATGTTTATTTTATTTTTCTATTTCATACAGAATTGGCTCCAACAGCCACATTAACTACGAGAAAGAGGTTAAAGACTCACAAACTTGCCATAAGTAGTGAATTTTATGCAAATTTAAAGAACTTAACTCTATATTTAAAATATAAACAAATATAACGCTATATTTTAAATTGCAATATATATTTACTAGCGACTCACCCTCGCTCCGCTCGGTTTCATCCTCAGGAATGTTTTAACGGTTAGTATAGATTTCTCAGATATGAGATATTTTCTCGCATTAAAAAGTATCCTATATGTTGACCCGGATAACCAGCTATAATCATACCAATTTTCATCAAAATCTGTTCAATGGTTTTCGCGTGATGCGTTTCCAAACAGAGAAAAAGACAGACAGACAAAAATTCTAAAATCTATAAATTCGGCCTCCATATCGATAATAATGATTGATTCAGTGAGATTTTCCAAAAAATATTTAATGTACAGATTCGACTTATTATTTGTCGGTGTTTTATCAAATGTAACACACATTTTCACGTCAGTTTCACTTTCATGAATGTTACGATGAAAAAGATACTATATATTATGATCGCACTTAGTTTATTTATTTAATAAACACCTTTACTAATAATATTTTCTTTGTACTATCGTTAAGTGCACTTCGCACAGATATACTGATATGTATATCATATATATATTCTTTGCGCCTTCATCAAAGATATTCTGTTTTTATACACATTAACATCTGGAAATCACATATGTATTTACAAATTTCAAATCGATATGACAGTTAAAATCGACTTCCAAGATTTGATTTTATATAAAAACTTTTTAACAAAAAAATAAAAACCGACTTCAAAGAAAAGCACTAAAGAGTAAAAAATAAGTGATTGGTAGTTTTCATTTACTATACATACCTAATCAAATATTTTCGAAGTCGGTGTGCTTTGGCTAAGTAATTAAAGCCTACCTATTAAATACATACCTAATCAAATATTTTCGAAATCGGTGCCAGCCCATACAAAGCAAAGCACACCGACGTCGAAAATATTTGATTAGGTATGTATAGTAAATGA